AGTGAGTGTTCCTCCCCCTAAAAGTTGAAAAAAAGAAAAGGAAGAAGATGATTAGGGTAAAATTGTATATTAGTGCCAACATTTAATATGAGACCAAAAAAATTAAAAAAATGTGAGTTGTGTAACTGCGAGTAACAAGAACAATTTCAGCCAGTTATTTTGACTTTTGTATTAATTGCCTAATTTATGAGGGAAAGTGTGAAAAATGTAATAGTAATCCTGATTTGAGCCAAACGATCAAAGAAAGGTTAAAATTAGATAGTGCAATTGTGAATGCGGATTGACTTTTAGACGATTTGCAAGAATTAAGGGAAATGTTAAAGGAAAAGGGGGATAGTAACTAATGTAGTGTAAAATGACTATACCAAAAATAAACAATCAAAATGTTCGCTAGCGAAAAACGGTTTAGTTATTTCATCCTAGTTATGGCCGACCGATTATTTTCCGAAGAGATGATAGAACCACAGGAGAAATCTCCGAAAAACATTGCATCTAAAAGAATTTTAAAAGTTTTGCGAACAAAATAGCATTTTTCTATTACTAAAAATTACGAATAATTTAATAACCTGAAAAAGTTGAGAAAAAAAATAAAAAAACAAGATTAAAGAATGTCTGAGTTACACCAGCCGGTAATGCCGCAAGAGGTTTTGGCTTATCTCCAACCCCAAGAAAATAGGATTTATATTGATTGCACGTTGGGGAGTGGCGGACATTCGCAAATTTTACTAGCGAATTGTCCGCCGATTAAAATAATTGCTTTTGACCATGACCAAGAAGCCATTGGTCGTTGTCAGCAAAATCCTTTTTTTTCCTCGCAACCGATTACTTTTATCAATGATAACTTTGTTAACTTTCCGCAACATTTATCTGCCTTAAACATTTCCCAGGTTGATGGTTTTTTGTTCGATTTAGGAGTTTCCAGCGAACAATTAACCGACCTGCAACGTGGCTTTAGTTATCGCCAAGACTCCCCTCTTGACATGCGAATGGATAAGCGGAACAAGTTAACCGCTCAGGATATTATCAATAATTATGATTACCAAAAATTAGTCGACATTTTTTCGCAATATGGTGAGGAAAGAAAGTCCAAAAGCGTAGCGTGAAAAATTTGCCAAATTCGAAAAAAAGAAAGAATTACTACTACTCAACAACTAGTAAAAATTGTTGTTCGTTGTCAAGACAAGAAACCCAAAAAGCATCCCGCCCGCCGAATTTTTCAGGCTCTCCGCATTGCCGTCAATCAAGAACTAATTAATTTTTCTTTAACCCTAGAAACGTCTCTGCAATTTTTAAATCCGGAGGGAAGAATTGTAGTAATTAGTTACCATTCCCTTGAAGACCGCATTGTTAAACAAACGTTTAGAAAATACGCTAGTCTTGGTTTTCAAATACTAACCAAGAAGCCTTTATGTCCCCAACCCGCGGAAGTAGCCAAAAATCGTCGTGCTCGTAGTGCAAAAATGCGAGTGATTGCTCGCTCGCTACCAACTGTGAGTTAAGTTTTCTG